AAAAGCGCTCGTTATCAGCTCTGCATGCCAGACTCTCTCTGGATGCAGTGTATGAGCCCCCACCACCCGACGTCGACTGGGCCGTTGCTGCATATGAACTGTCCCGTATCATTATCCCTAGCGATCGACAAACGTTGAGCTGCACACATGACGAACTTCATGCAGAAGCTGCAAGGGTACGAAAGGAGCGACAATCGACCGTGGGCTTGCCGACTGGTCCCGACGAACGGATGCAACTACGTGACCGAAAGGCAAAAGCCCCTCCTGCTAACATTTCGGCTGTACGCGCAGTCTCGCGTAACGGCAATCGGCGTACAACTATCGCAGCAGTCAGTGACTTACCTGATCCTAATGCAGAGCATCCTGATCTGCCAAACGGGAGGATGCGTCGAAGATCCAGTGACGCATCAAGCATCCTGTCGAGTTTCCAAGGCATGAAACTATCAGATCAGGGTCCTGGTAGCGCAGAGGTTTTGTCAAAGCCTTCAGGCCCACAAGCACCTTCGAGAGCATCACCAGCTCCCACTGGGAAGCCAGCTAAAGCTGTTGCTGTGAAGAAGACAAGAGCTCCGCCTGCGACAAAGGCACCAGCAAGACCAAAAGCCAGTAGCCCCCGGCGGCAGAAAACTGTCCTGTCAGCTGTAACAGGCTTGCCCGAAACCAAGATTACTCCTACTCTCGTTCAGAAAGATGCGATCCAGGCCCAGCATACTTTGCCTGTGCAAGGCGGTCGCAAAGAAGCTTCACATGCTGATGATGTGGACAACCTAACAAATGGGATGAAAAAGATCTCTATCAAATTGAAAATGCCGACTGTAGAAGAGCACGCCAACACACAAAATCAAAAGACGGGTGATGATAAGCAGAAGAAGCCTCGTGCACCAAGGAAACCACTGGCCCCCAAGAATTCCAAGCCAACTAAGACGACTCTCGTTGCAGATCCCGGTCAAAGAATCAGTCCGCAAACAGATTTCCCCAAAGACGACCAAGAGCACTCAGAAACGACTACCACAAATACAGCAGGAATAACATCGTCATCAGTAGTTCCTCAAGCGGTCGAAGAACGTATGCCCAATCCCAACGCGAATTCTCGTCCCTACATGCCGCTGCAAGAGATCAACGGTCAGCAAGAGTCACAGCAATACATAAAAGCCGAGGAGGCCGTGAATTTCAGTGTATCTGATGCACAAGCTCCAACAGCCAACTCTCTCTTCGTTGTTCCTCAGATCCCAAACTCCCAAATACAGCAAGCAACAACCAACGCAGCAGCATCGGGAACGCCTTTATCTCCTGTGATAGACAACCCGATACAGAGAACAAAGCAGGACCTACCTGTGTTTACTTCAAGCTCTCCTATCCCATTCGCGGCTCCCGCCCAGGAAGAGCAACACTCGCCGGCACTGAAGCTTGAGGAGGCCACGAAACCGAACCCTGTTTTCTGGAGTACTCCCGAGATATCAGAGCAAAAATGAGACTTGCGACGAGATCTTTCAGAACAATCATTTTCTCAGTCAACATCGCGGACGAGGTCTTCCAGTGTGACCCTTGGATACGCGCACTTGGGTCGTCTCAACAAGAACACTTTCTCATCCTCCATTTTCCTTTTATTCCTCCTTTTTCTAAATTAGAGATACCCCATACAGCATTGGTCAGGAGCTTGGATGGGCAATGGGACAACCAGGTTATTTTCGATCGTAATCTTTGATTCTGAATTGCAAGGGGAACCCTCAAGTTGGAAAGCGGATGCGAAGATGTGATCCACTCGCAGAAATAGCCGGGGGAATACTGCTCCTTGGTTGGTAAAAGTAGCGAAATGCATTCAAATCAATTCTATTATGACTCCAGCATCTCTCGTGCCCGTTACACCAGACTGGACTTGAAAGATCCACCAACGTTGATAGTTAAAAATCCCCAAATCGCCAAGAATATCATAAATAGAGCAGGAAGCTAAAGTAAATCGCGTAAAACGGATATACTACTTATGATTAGGGATGAAGTATCCTCCTGTTGAAGGATCAAAGAAAAAGGAGTCTCAGACCTAGTGTCAGAGATCCAGCCAATCAGTAGCCAGGAGTGTCAGCCTGTACATTGCACAGGCAAATTCCACCAATCACGTTCCAGCCTGTAGACTCCCCCATTACAATAGTAGTAAAAACACTCTGGGCGGCTAGAGTCCATGTTCTTTCTCCCTTATCCACCATTCTATATATAATAGGCTCCATGAAGGTAGCTGGCTACATTTCTACGTCCAATGGGAGGGTGAGTATGTATTCGTGTCAAATGCACCAACCGGAAACTGTATCATTTGAAGGACGGTCAGCCACCGACCCGCCGAGTAGTTCCCATATCTCGGGGTCTCGAATCTGTTGGCAATTTCTACCCTTTCAACTTTCCTTCTTCAACGGTTTTGGTGCGTTCCGGTCGCTCTACCTACAAAATAGACATGCCTCGGGTGCGGGAAATCTACGGGCATTTCGTACAAAATTTCATCTTCTTGGTACCTCTATTTACGGCATCCATTGTTTCAATTGTTTTTCCGTCAGAGACGAAGAACATGGTAAAAGTAAATGACCACCTTTCCAAGAAAACTCCCATAATAAGAAGGGTGTTCAAGTTGTCTCGGTGGGTAGGCATTATCTGGGTATCGTGTATCGATAGGTACTCGTATGGTATATGACGTACAATTCCTAGTAACAAGCCTTCTTTTACTCTTGTCGTCGACGCTTCGAATGTTTTGTATTACTAGCGCAATGATGTTCAGCCTCGGACGTAATCACAGGTTTATCTACCTACACGGTACTGAGAATGTGGACATCTACCTCGACACCTCAAAACACCGTCCACCTGTGTGTGAATGGAGCCTTACCATTTTTTTAAAACACCGCGATCGCATTCGGAGGAGAACCGACCGACCCTGGATAATTTAACGGCGCGGACGTAAGGAGGAATTCGTATCGTTTCGCTTTCGCACAATGCTCGCCCAACGCCTTCAGGTCCCATAATTCGCCAATGGGCATGCCGAAAAAGGCCAAGAGGTATTTATGTAAAACTTTCATGTCGGTCAGTGACGGGACGGCAATGCTCTCGAATCAGTATTTCTTCCGTACCTAGCTGATCATAACCTCCTGGCTTTCCTCCCTCTTCTTCGATCTGTGGGGGGAGCGACTCGAAAGCAATGGCATCGCCCGCCACAGCACTAAAGTGGTGGTTCCAGAGCCAACGAGCGGTTTCCAGGCTCCCTTTGACTCCAACCGTCTTATGAGTGCCGAGGAGCTTTGTTTGTTCATCAATGTCGGCAGCGTCCAGGTCCTCGGTGAATCCCGTCCTGACCAGAAGGATGTCGCCGTACTTGAACTTGGTGCCCTGATGGGCCGCCACGGCTTCTAGATCCTGGACAGAAATAGGGACATTGTCAAAGCAGCTGTACTGGATTCCTTTGGCCTGTGCATAGGCTCGGTAATCCAATAAAACCCCCCGCCCGACCAAACAACCCTTGTCATGCCAGTGATTCAATGTGGGAAGACTCTTATCACAGTGCCGAAATCCTTGGATGAGGTTCTCTGTTGTTGGTCTTGAGCCATTGTAGCACAGCCCTGTGTGTTGGTGGCCGTAATGCACGAGGCTGTCCCACTGGCTTGATGCCTGCGTATTGAAAGCCACTTCGTCGTCGAAACTATGGATGCCCAAGGTGAGTTTGGCGTCGAGAACGGTATGCTCGGTCGGGCGTCGCCCGTAGCCGGGCTTGCCAATTGCGTTGAGCGGCCAGTTTAGAGAAATCGAGACGCCATCGCGGGCTTCCTTGCAGGCCTCCTTCTTCACGGCAGGTGTAAGTAGATTGAAGCAACCAAGATAGTCCGTTGTTCCGTCCTTGTCGAAAACACCCCAGGCACAGCCTTTGGGCATGCCCTTGACTTCCGGCAAGGAGTCGAAGTCGGGGATATTGTCAAAGTCTGCCATTTTCTTTTAAATCGTGGTTTAACGAGTCATTTGGTGGTGGCAAAAGGTAGGTAGGTGGACGTGCCTGTCAAAATTGAATGAAGATATAGTGCAAGGGCATAAAGATCCCCAGGTTATGCTGGGCTCTCTCGACGAAATGACTGTAAACATGGTTACGTACTCAACGCCAATCCTCGGAGATTGTGCCACTCCGCGGCATGTAGGTTTCCTGCAAAGGACAAAACTACTGTGGTACTCTAAGAATGAGTTTCCTCGCAGAAACAGGTCTAGACACACGAGCTGCGAGCCCGCCAGCGAGGCTGTGCCGTGGGTGGACTTTCCGTGGATGTTTCTTTATGGGCTGGCTGTGGATTGTAACAAGTTGCCACGGTTGTGAATCTCCCCAATGAATTCCTTGCCGCGGCCCGAAACGACGTGCCCGTGGCCAGAGGTGCATCTTCCTAGCCGTTCTGCCGCACAAAACTAGGCCGAATCTGTACATGTACCTCTTCCAGTGACCATACAAAGTGCCCAGCAGGAAGCTGGCTCCAGAAAAATGTCAGAAGACGCACATCGATTCAGAGACAAGACGCACATCCTGACTGGGGACCCTCAAGTCTTAGCAAGCGATAAGCATACACCGCAGTATTCCACCATGAGTACCTCGTTGCCAAAGCAACCAGTTACATTGTACAATGTATTTGTTAGTAGTAACACGCTCGATGGTCCTTCGACTTTCGTTGACAAGTTGTTAGGTCGTCGCATGTGCAACACTGGCGTCAATTTTGCTTGGATATGCGTCAGGGGTGATCGGCAGCACGCTCGGCCAGGCATCATGGTACCGTGTGGTAAGGACGAATGCTTCTCACAGACCCCAGAGGCTTATTCAGAGATAGATGGGGCTTCAAATGGTTCCTGGAAAGCCTGGATACAGCCACACGGAGACTATACAAGGGGCTTGTCAGTCATTTTCTGGGAGTCAAGTGCATCCAGCTGACGAACATGCAGCCAACGGGACGTTCTATGCATTCGCTACGATCGGCACCATTCTTATAGGGGAAATAATGGGCCTCCTGGGACGCATCCGTGCATTCCAGATTGCAAGTGCTCTACACATCGTTGGAGCGGCCATCCAGACGGGAAGCGTGAATCAGGCAATGTTCCTGGTAGGTAGAGGTATCACAGGCCTTGCAGCAGGGTCGACAATAGTCATCGGCCCTGTCTACTTTTCCGAGGTGGCTCCGCCATCGTCTCGTGGCTCCATGGCAGGAATGCATGGCGCGGGTATAAATACTGGATACATGTTAGCTGCTTGGGTACGGTGTGACCCCCATTTTCACCATGTCTGGCTTTAACAGCAGAGACAGGTCGGCTTTGGCTCCTCCTATGCGAACCCCACGACGACCTTCGGATTCCGATTTCCCCTGGCCATTCCGATCCTCATAGCCCTGATTATCTTGGGTGCAACGTTATGGATGCCAGAGAGTCCTAGGCACCTGGTCGACAAAGGCCGCAGTTCTGAAGCTCTTGCAATCCTCACCTCCCTTCACGGTCACGGCAACCATGAGTTTGCGCAGCGAGAGCTGAGAGAGATCGAACTGCAGGTTTCCGAAGAGAAGGCTGCGTTCAAGGAAAAGTCGGCCTTCATGATCCTTTTCACGCAGATGACATACCTCAAACGCGTGGCTCTGGGCATTCTGGTTTGTTCAGGAGTTATTAATACGGGCGTGCTTGTCATCAATAGTAAGTCTTAGCAGACCACTGACTAGGGACATTGACTTAGTCGTGAAGATTACGCTGTCATCATTTACAGCTCGCTCGGGCTTTCAACTACAGTGTCCCTTCTTCTCTCTGCCGTGTGGTTGACACTTGCCGCCTTCTGGAACTGGCTCGGCGCCTTCCTCTCTGACAGAGTAGGACGAAGACGGATTCTGCGTCAGTTCAGAACCAAAAAAAGCCTGCTGTGCAACTCTAATCGGATGCAGTTATCGGAAATATTGGGACAACCGCGATGTTGATCATTTTCACTGGCCTGTATGCCAAATTTCAGGAAACTGGCGAAAGGAAATATGCAACCGCCTGTCTGGTCTTCAACTTCGCATTCGAGTTATTGTAAGTTGCAGTTTTAAGACCCTCAGATCATTGCTAAAGGCGAGCAAGCTTCGGCGCGGGCGTCGATCCGCATGTCTACACTGTCGCTGCAGAGATCTTCCCCGTCCATCTTCGGGCCAAAGGTGAAAGCATCGCACTTGCAGGCTACTATATCTACAGCATCATTTGGACGGAGGCAGCACCACCTGCATTTAGCAGCATTGGATGTGAGTCGTGGTTCCGAGCGATTGACGGTCTTGTGCTAATCTTGCCAGGGAAATTTTATCTCGTTTTTATTTGCATCCAATTTCTACAGATTACACTGATCTATCTCTATCTACCAGAAGTATGACCTGCCGACACATTGCTTTTGGATCATCCACTAACTCTCCATCAGACTGCCAATGTCCCGCTTGAAGAAATTGACGAGGTTTTTGGCGGTCAAGTCAAAGTCCATCTCAATGACGCGGATCTGATCATGGAACCTACGTCAGAAGAGGTAGAGGTGAAAGAAGCACAAGCCGCTATCAAGGAGTGATGGTTGGACAGAGAGTAGCTGGCATTTGGGCCTAGTATATGGCTTATAGCATGACCGTTTTGCTAAAGTAGAGCTACAGGGCGAAAGACAATCGATGGTTTCCGCGTCGTCTACTTCGTGATGAATTTCTCTCGATCTCCACTGAAGATAGCATATTAATCATAACATGAGGCAGAGATTGCTCTGAGTATCTCAAAACCTGTAGCATTCGAAAATTCTCATTCTTTGTCTCTCTGTATTCCCGAAATGAGGATCATCACGCAGACGGCCTCAACAACTCAGAAACAACAGCATCTAGATTTTCTTGCGGAAGAGCGAGCAGAGCGTTGTCTAGCTCTCTTTCATCCCCATAATTTCCTCCTCTACCTCTGGTGTACCACCCAGCTCGCACAAGCCGTGGGATGGCACTGGCGAGGTCACCGTCCCGGAGACTTTGCTGTCCCGCCTTGATCTCGTCCTCGCCTGAAGTCCGGACGACCTTCCAACGCGAGGCGCTCGATTTCTCCAGCGCCTCCAAGATGTCATTGAGGCTCAGGGTGAATGATGCCACGTAGACGAATCTGTTCGCGGTCTCGTCGGGATGCTGCAAGGTCTTCACGACCGCCTGGCCGACAGTCGATAAGGTTGTCGTGGAAAATCTGCAGGCGCCGTCGTCCCATATCAGGGCCTCCCTTTTCTTCAAGTCAAACCCGAGAAATCCAGAACTCAACCCCTGGGACATTTTGTTATCAGACACGATTCACGCGCTTTGGGGTCTGTCGGACAAATAATACATACCCAGTCGAAGAAGGGGCCAGTCACCAAGACTGACCAAGTCAATCCCGTCTTCTCTCGCTCCTTGAGATAATCCAGAATGTCGAGCTTGATCTGAAAGACCGGGGGCCGAAGCTCTGTGGACCTCGGATTGGCGCTGTCTCCGCCAAACTCGCTGGGTATGAACCTCTGGACGCCCGCCTTGATGGCAACGTCGATGAGTTTCTTCTGTTGGCCTACCGCCCGGAAGCCGACCGCGGACACAACGGCGTCTTGGCCAGACATAGCTTCCAGAAGAGATTCCTCCGAATAGTCTGTCTCAAACACCTTGACGGGGCCGGCGAATGACTTTGACCTCGCATCCCTTGTGAGCACACTCACTTCAAAGGAGGATGGCGTGGAGAGAAAAGCCTGGACGATCGACGGCCCAAGGTTCCCACCAGCTCCGACAATGAGCACTTTGCGGATCATGTTGGCGGTGAAGAGTCGACCTGCTCGCCAGCCCTGATGTTGGAAACCAGGAAAGAGGGATATCCCCCGGGGAAGAGAAGCATATTAAACTGTACTTTAAGACTGACAAAATCCGGTTAAATCCAGCCAGTCTCAGGAAGCTGGTAGACTCTCGGTTACGCGGCAACTTTGTCAATCTTACCGGAAAGCAGAAGGGGCAAAATAATATGTAGGTACGCGAGGTGGTGTTATTCTTGGTTATAACCCCGAGGCATTATTCTGAGAGCTTTGAAATCGTATGTCCCTGTACGACTTCCAAGTTCAATGCATAACACCTTTGCCGGTGAAGAATACGCTCCGAAGTGTTCTACATAATCTAGAGGCAACTTAGTCATGATGTACTTATGCATGCATCCAGTATCCGGTATTGACAGCAATCTAAGCCATGAAGCAGGATACCAAATAGTTTCCTTAGGTTGTGAATTCCAGAATGGACTATATGAGAACGTTCAGTCAGGTCACAGTGCCACCCAGATGTGTTCAAAGGCTTCGGTCCTCACGCCCTCGTGGATCATTTTGTGAAGGTAGTCAAACAGGCTACACTGAAGGACCGCTGATTTCCGAGTCCCTCAGACTTTGTGCACATCAACTTCCTCGAGTCCTGATGTTGCGATTTTCTCGGACCCTGTTGTTTGATTCCGGAGCTCTTTATGGACATGCTCCTCCGCCTGCTGCATAGTCTCGGCAACCTGTGAGTCTAGGTTAGCAACCAGTAAGGGAACGGCGAAGCTTCTAATCAGGTCACTTACCTCGTCACCAAATAACGCGGCAATCTCTTCAAGGGTTTTGCCATTGGTCTCGGGATATCTGAATCAGCTTAGCTTGGATCACAGCGACAACAGCACAGATTGACACTTACGCAAAGTATACCAAGGGGACAAAAATTGCATCCATGCACAGGAAGATCAGGAAATACCGCCAACTGATCGCTTGGATCGCGAGAGGTCCGACTTGTACGAGCAGAACGGTCACGGCATTGAAGGTGGCCAGTCCTGTGGCTGTCCCAGCAGCACGTATTTCTGTTGGGCATATTTCTGGGATGTATGCATACCCGAAGGCATTCATCACCCAAGCATAGCCGAACATGAAAAGGAACATTGACCAGACGCCTAGTTTTCCGAGAGTGGCATTCGTGTTGCCGGACCTCTCGTACGACGCCCAGAAAGCTGTAAGGAGAGTGGAAGCGATCATTACGATGGTGATCGAGATGTAGAACGACTTCTTCCTTCCGATCTTGTCGAAGTAGTACGTTCCGCAGCACGTGGAGATGATGGTGACCATTCCCCATACGCCGACCAGTACCAGAGACATCTTGTTGCCAATGCCGAGTGCAGCGTACCTGCAAATCGTTGTAAGCTTCCACACGAGAACAGAAGTTCAGGGATACATACAACAAGACCTGGTAGTTTTGGAGAGGCACAATTCCCGTCAGTTGTTGGAAGGTGTAGAAGGCAATGATCAAGACAAATCTGTGGATGTATGACTTCTTTGTGAAGATGGTCTTGAAACCTCGGTTCTGCGACCTCTCGAGCTCGATCTGCGATTTGATCTGATGGAATTCTCGTAGGTAAAATTCCGGATCTTTGGGGTCGCTGTGCATCTTGCGTAGCACTTCCAGAGCCTCATCATCCCGACGTTTAAGCAAGAGCCATCTCGGCGACTCTGGCATATACAAGGAACCCGCGGCCATAAGAGCAGGTGGGATGAACTGGAGTCCAAGGAAAATCCTCCACGCAGAGTTGCCATTGACATATGACAGCCCCAGGCCCATCCATTCCGTCAAGGCGTAGGCGGACGACAGCATCAAGCTGGGAAGCATCAGCATTGCCGCCGGTACCGCAGGCTGTCACAAACTCACTTGTACAGCCCACCGACCGAGCCACGGATTTTCGGGGGTGAGATCTCGCTGGCGTAGGCAGGGCACAGGCTGAAGATAATTCCACAGGCAAACCCTCCCACAATGCGCCCGACCAAAAGCATGGCAAGGTTGCGAGCGGCCGTCTGCAACACGGCCCCAACGACGGCGATGGCACAAGCTGCTCGAATTGTACGCAGTCTACCGTACTTGTCAGGCCAGTACCAGTTGACATAGCTTCCGAAGAAGTTGCCAGCATAGTAGCACGACCCAACAGCACCCAGAGTTGTAGTATTCAAATTGAAGTATGAGATGAAGGCAGGGTATCCGAAGATAGAGGTGCTGAGTCCGGAGTCGTATCCATAGAAAAGGGCACCAGAGGATACATAAAGAATTGCTAGTAGGTTGAATCTGTTCATGATGGGCGGGCGGTCACTGTGGAGGACGTTCTTGTCTATCACGCCAAAGGTAGATGAAAGTGAAGTCGAGATTGCGAACGGTCGACCATTTTATGCAGAGTCCGCCGCTGGCATACATATTCCATCGCCCGCATGGCTTCCATTTTGACCTCCTTTCAAACCAACGCTGCGAGACGGGTTACAACAATAGGTTCGGGTGGTGGAGGCTCCACAACCCCAGCTTCAAAGTAAATGTCCGGATGCGTTGCCAGCCTCGGGAACATGGCGGGGTTGCGGAGAAGAAAATGCATTCCCCGGTCCCGTGCAAAACAGTTCAATTTCGACGCCGCGCCATATTTATTGTTCTCGTTGCCCCGGGATCGCGGCTACTCGTCTTCTCGCCGAGGGAACTTTGCACCTGCAATCATTGCATAGTCAGTGCTTGAGCCGTCAAATGAGCGCATCCGTCGATGATCCGGCGTGGTCAGGCCAGTTGGGGCCACCGACTCACCTCGTCCAGACGCTGAGAAAACGTGCTTCCAAAGCTTGCAAGATATGCCATGCCAGGAAAATCCGCTGTGACGCGACACTAAAGCGATCTGGGCAGGCGTGCTCTTATTGCATGTCGCTTGGTACAGAGTGTGTGCTGGAACAGTCATCTTCTGGGTGAGGATGTCCTTCACAAGGGGAATGAATAGCTGATCAAAATGACTGATGCTTCTCCACGATTCGTGAATGGTTTAGGCCCTCAAAGAAACGCAAACGTGCTAGAAGCCCGTCAAGACCTCAGCAAAGCACTTCCAGCATCCTAGCCGTAAATTCACCCTCACAAAATGCTGGTCCCATTGGTGCCAGCGTCCGGGGAACCGATGCCTCCCCTGGAGTTGTCGAATCTCTGCAGGCTCGAACTCCTCAAAACCCAGTCGCACCTGCAATAAGCAGACACAACAAGTCGATGTCAGCTCGGACTCCCGACGTCGGTAACCAATCCAATACTCAGATCGAGACTGGAGTTGACAGCCCCCGAACCCCGGACCAGGTGTGGACGAGTCCTTTGGACTTTGTTGACGGTCCACCAGAACCGCATGCTTCCCTCACCAGGAGATCACCATCGCAAAATGAGGCGTACCTGTCCGACCAACACCGAGCCGGCTCTGTGGCGCCATCCAATGGCGATAAGCGAATTGTGTATGCGGATGATACGTTGACACACTGCGTCCTCCCTCACATGACCGGTCACCGTTCGTTCAACGCATCCGACAGTCGAGAAGGCGACCGCGTCGAACCAGACAGCCCGAACATGGCGCGAGTTACAATAACCTGCCCACCAGTGCCCTCCCTTACCTGGTTTCGACGCGAACTGGACCCAACAACCAAGACTTTCTCTCACTTGGTCGCTGAAGATATCACGTACCTGTGTAAGGTCAAGGGAGTACTGGCATTTCCACCAGTCATTACCTGTGACCTGCTGATGGGATGTTTCGTACGCCACTTTTTACCAGCCTATCCCGTCGTGGACAGAAATGACCTGCAAAGAATCTACCTGCGTTTCCGGCGTGGCACCATCAGCTCCCCCTTGCTTATGCATTCAATCTTCTTTGCAGCTTGCCAGTATATGGATGAGAACACATTACAAGAAGCCGGGTTCAAGAAGAGGTCGACGGCACAAGAGTACTTCCACACCCGAGCAGCACTCCTCTATTCCTTCAACTGCGAAAAAGACCAGCTCATGCTCATTCAATCTCTCGTTTTTATGAGCCCTAGGTGGACGAACTATAGCGAAGAAAAAGACATCCGCTTTTGGACAACATGTGCATGCAATTTGGCTTTCACGATGGGCTTGCATAAAGCTATTCCTCCATCATCCAGATTATCACAGCATCAGAGATGTCTGTGGCGGAGGATCTTTTGGACTCTGTTCGTGAGTAGACTATTTGCTTATTCCCTTGCATGATGCTTTTATCTAGTGGCACTGGCTGACGCATCATACTGCAAAGGTACGCGACTATAATGTCGCGCTCGGTATAGGTCGTCCGCCAGTGATCAACCTCGAGGTCGTGGATGTTGAGCTTCTCTCTGAGTCTGACTTCTACGAGACGGCTGCTGTTGAAGGCGCAGAAAGATCTGGGGAATGCCCAGTCGACTTTTACTTCTTCAGTAAGGTCCATAGCGCGTTCATGACCGACTTGATCGCGCTCTCGAAAATCCGTACGTCGAACCTGCCAATATCGCGCATCCTACCCTAGTCGTTCAGTTTCCTCAGAACACAAGACTGCACCGCTCCCTTTGTGCATAAAGTCACCAACTCTATTGTGCCGCATGCTGACCAGTAATAGTGTCAGAAATTTTCACCATGAATGTTGAGCATCGAAGACACGAGGACTCTCTCCTCCCACGCCTGATCTCCGTCAAGACGCGTCTGGAACAGATGGACTTGGCTTCTGAGCGTGCAACTAGATCGTACACGACCGCAGACGCTCTGGTTGAATATTCAATCTGGCCGATCTCTGTCGAACTCAACCGTCAGAGAATTATGGCCTTGAACTTCAGAGTCATGCACAAGGTACTACTCGAACACGACTCTGGATTTTCTAATAGTCTCACCGTCCAACAAGTTCGGGATGGCATTATCAAGTGTGCTGCAAGGACTATGGCGCTATATGAGGAACTTCTCTCATCGGACGTATTGAAGTACAGCCACAGTTTTTTGTAAGTGTCAATGTGAGCCCGTGCAAGAGATGGTAATGATAACTGACGAGATATGGACAAAGAAATACCTCTCTCTTCAACGCGCTCATCACCTATCTCGAGGAAGTAAAGGATAATCCACGAGACTCTAGTCGGGCGTCCATAGCTGTCAACAAAATCCAACTTGGCCTGTTGATACTCGGAGAGCATCGCAAATACTGGAACGCCGCTCGCTGGTCATACTCTCTCTTCAAGTTCTGCGTCGATCGAGACTTCGAATTTCTGCAGAACCTCCCCAGGCAGTCCCGATGGCATTCACCAGATGCCGGGCCCACGCCAGTGCAAGGACCTTCGTTCTCACCACCTCCTACTAGCACCATCGAAGAACCACCTTGTATGGCGGACTTCAATTTCGGTGAAATCCCCATTTGGGATTCCTCATTTGTGGATTCGCATTGGCTTGCGGAATGGTTTCCCATCACCCTGGATCAGTCACAAGTCCAGGCCCTTAATTCGGAGGCACCGATGGAGCAAGAGGGCTGACCAAGTAGATTTGATTCGGATGACATTTCTTGGATATGGGACTCTCCATGATACCTACCAGTTTTCTTTCGGTCAAAAATGGGGTCCAGAACATTCAAGCAGTCGGTAGTAGTAATAATGTATACCCTATTTAATCTTCATGCATCGCTAGAGCTGTGGGATCACACCTTCCAATTTCATTGTGTCGAATATTTTGCACAAGTCTTTTCTCGTGTCAAAGCGGGTTGTCCAACCAAGCTCCCGTGCGGCTTTGTCCATACTGACCGAAGCGCCCCAGGTAGCGTATCTCATGATCCATCCGAAAAAGGACCACGTCGCGAACTTGTCGCAAGCGTCCTTGTCCCCCCCGTGCTTCGCCACCAATTCCTCCCATACACCACGCTTCAGCTTTGATTCGATATCGGCCTCAATGTCGAATCCGGCTCTGGTCGTCACCGGAACCCCAAAGTACTGACCCATACTTTCCCAAATCTCCCTGAACGTGAGTCCCTTCGGATCCGCGTCGACGATGTTGTACGATTGGTTTTGGGCGTTTGGATGGAGGGCAAGACGAGTTGTGAAGGCAGCGATGTTCGCCGCCGAGGAGAAGTCCTGTCGCTTCTCGTAGCACCCTTCGCCCTCGGATGGCACGGAAAATACCGCCGGCTCGCCGAGATACTTTTGCATGGTAAAGTACAGGGCGGCCGTGCACGTAAATGACTGTCCGCTACCTGCCCTGGAAAGTCAGCCTTTCGACATGCCTGATTTCATGGCAAATTAATTCCCTGGAACCAAAGATTCTGAGCCATGTGAGAAAAAAAAACCCCTCACCAAAGCTGAACCCACTGATCAAGAATGGACGCGTCGTCGACCAGGTCCACTTCCTGTGTTTCTGCAGCTCAAACATAAAGTCCTCTTGGGGGTAGTAAAAGTTGGGCGGGCCCTCGAGCCCGAGTCGGCCGAGGTCTTCGGTGACGGGCTCCTTGGGCGGTGCTTTGAAGTGAAAGCCGTAATATTTGGCCCCGTTTTGGAGCACGACACGCTGGAGTGTGTCCTTGTTGATGTCATCGACCGCGGTCAGGATGTTGATGAAAAACTTCACATTGTATTCGTATTGCTTCTCGAACGCGTCATGGTGGATGTATGCCATGTGGAAGAAATGTGTCACTTTGGTGGCGCCCATGTCCCGGAGTGCCTGTGAGATCGAGCCCACGTCGGAGTTGAGGTCCGCCTGGCCAAATACCACCCTGGGGTCCTTCGAGAGCCGGAATGGTCGTCGGCGTGAAGTTGCGATAATTTTGGTCCACTGAGGCTCCGAGGCGAGCTGCCGGATCAGATAGTCGCCGGTGACGCCGTTCGCCCCGGTCACAAGGGCGACCAGTTCTCCAGACGGTGCCATGTCGGTCTCTTTTGCGTCGTCCCAAGCTCCCAGCCTACGTTGCCGTCTTTGAATCTGCGTCCCGTGAGAACGACCTTGGTCAAGGTCTTATACGCTGGCGGTGGCAATGATGGTGGCAGTCCAAAACACAAAGCCGTTTGAGCGCTTACCAAAGCCTCTCTCCTCTCCTCGGCTTGCTCGAGGGGATTGAAGTTTTGAAGGGTTGAGCTTGCCTCGGATAGTTCTAAAAGCGGGTCAACCCCACTGAGCCTATGATGAGCTAACTGAAGAAAGGGTTGTATTGGTCCCAAAAGGTTCTGGTCTTTTGCTGGTTTGTTCTCGGTAACTCTACGCTACTGGAGGAAACATGGTCATGTAAAAACACCACCAGACACCATGTGCTTTCGAGACAACTTACGACTACAGCAAGATTGTCGATGGCCACGTATGACGTTGGCTTATTCTGCGAATTCGCGTGGAGGCCCCCTGGGCCAGATCAGCGTTGCTGACAAGTCTCTGATGCAGCCTTGCTAACAAGATCTTGCGCCGAACCTATAGGAACAACAACGTCCTCTTTCTGTTAGGATGTTGTCCAACGAGAAGTCTTCTATGCGGCCAATTTTGTCTCCAAATACAGAAATTGAGTCTCATGGTGCCATAAGTTTCGCCTGAAGAAACTGAAGCAGGATATCCCAGCCCCGACGGGTTACCTCGACAACATGGCCATTGAATGTCATGAAACCATGGCAGGCACCCGGTACGAATTTCAGAATAGCTTCATTTCCTGCCAACTGCCACCGTGACGCCATCAAGATGCTATCATCTACCAAGCCATCCTCAGTGCCGACCAAAAACAACGCCGGAACCAAGTCGCTGAGCTTGTTGTACGCCGGTGAGATGGTGGCGGCTTTTCTCTGGTCAGGTGTGCGACCAGGCAGGTATGCGTCGAGAAATTGCTCGGCGTCCTCGTAGTTCAAAATTGGAGTCTCTGACCTCTCTAACCCCCGTAGAGAGGGTAGAGCTGAAAGATCAAAGTTACCGTAGCTGAGAACGACCCCTCTGATACGAGATAGCAGTCCTCGTTGTTGCAGATGAAGGACAACAAGAGCAGAAAGCGTAGCACCGGCAGACTGGTCTCGCTCGTCAGTGTCTGTCTCCTATGACTCTGGCCGCCAATGTTCTCCACACAGACTCACCTCGCCGCCGATGAAATTCAAGTCACAGTCCCACTGTGAACTGTCAGCGTCGTCAACTGGTGAGAGAAGAACACAGAGATCCTCCTGACCTTTTCTTGTGCGTGCTGTTCAAGCCAGTCGGCGACGGTGCAGCAATCTTCCAATGCAGCTGGATAAGGATTTTCTGGTGCAAGGCGGTATTCGACCGAGACCACAACCAACCGAGCGGACCGAGAGATCTCAGCCAGGAGAAGATCTTGACTGTGCCGTTCGCATCAGTCACAAGACCCCGGGTAGTTGCCAGTGATGAAACTACTAACCTATCCGCAGAGCCGAGGACATAGCCACCACCGTGGATGTGATAAAAGACTCCAATCGGTTTTGCGCCAGGAGGTTGAAACAGACGACATTTTATGGCTGGCCCATGATTCGATTCAATACTGATCTCCTCTGCTTCTCCCAAGAGCATAGGTCGAGGGAAAGGTGTTGCGCCCTGGGCTCGACGCTGGCGGTATTCCCGGGCTCCACACTAGTTCTTGGGGTCAGGATCATTGCAGAAGGGAGGCGTTGTATCCCAGCCGAGATCGGGGTTTCCATACCTTCCACCACTTTGTATCCCTCAGTCCCAGCTCAATCAGCTGACTATTGAGCTGTCTCGTAGCCGTAGTGGTCGCTCCCTTGTGGAAGGCAGCTAGGTCAAGTGAGAGATCAGACTTCAACGACTTATCGTCATTGGACAAGAACTCGCCCATTCTTGCTGCAGTTTCGTAGTGTGGCGGCCAATCAAGGATAAATTTCGTAGTCAGAACACATTGAACTGACACAAAATATGGTAGTCTGATCAGATACCAAATGGAAAAATCTGATCGAAGCTGACACAACGATATCGACACGACTTGAGAAGTATACCGCGCTTTACACCCGGTGACAAAGAGGCTCTCCCCAATTGTTCATTAAGTTTACTCGAGCCTCACCGGCACTATGACACGGACTACCATTAGTCAGTGGTGACCTGATCTCTTTGGTAATCATAGTGTAGGCATCAAAAACCCCCTTTGAGTGGTCTTAGACGAGTCTCAGCTGGATCCAGGTCATCTAGAGAAACATGGCATTGGTGGTGTTCCGCCCCGGGCTCCGCTCGTGTCAGGAGATTCTGCCAAAGAACTTGCGTGCCGCGGCAATTTATCCTGAGCCAAGGACGGCTGTTTCGAGGCAGGCCATGTACTTGCCGTGGCAACTGGCTCTGGTTGCGTGATTGGTGCTTTTTCTACATCTTCCTCAAGAGCTCAAAGCATCGGCCTTTGCTATATTTGCTTGTAGACAGAATGTAGCGCAGAATAATAGCTCTCCGTCCGCTTCGCTTCCAAATTACTGTTTGTTGTCTTCAGTTCCTCGAAATCACCTCAAGATGTCTCCAGGAAAGGAGGGTGAAGGCTTTCCCGCCCAGAATATATCGTTAGACTCCAAGTACGACTCTCACGGCTGGCTTGTTGAAAATGAAAAAGGTTATAGAATCATCGAGGATCACTTCGGAGCTCATCGCAAACTACGAGTTATTCACATCGGTGCTGGTGCCTCGGGGATTTGCTTTTCGAAATTTGCCGGGGAAGAACATGAGAACATCGACCTACAGATCTACGAGAAGAATGACGATATTGGCGGGACCTGGCTCGAAAATAGGTAAGTGTTGGCTCCGGTGAGAATGGAAGTGGTTGGACTCATCGTTCATTCAGATATCCAGGGTGTGCTTGCGACATTCCCTCCGTTTGTTATCAATTTACCTGGGATCGGAATCCCGAGTGGTCTCAATACTACTCGGAATCACCAGAGATCTGGAAATACTTCAAAAGCGTTGTTGAGAGACACGGTCTTATGAAATACATTAAACTTCGACATAAAGTGGTTGCAGCAAAATGGCATCAGGAAGACGGACTTTGGCACGTTCGAGTTCAAGACGAAGAGCATGGAAATGAATTCAACGACACGTGCCATGTCCTAGTCAACGGCGGTGGCATCCTGAAGTATGTCCCTTCTACGAGTCCTGCGGCATATGCTGATGGTTAATTAGTAATTGGAAGTGGCCAGATATTCCTGGCCTTCATTCATTTCAAGGAGTCCTCCAACACAGTGCACACTTTACCGAAGGACTCGACCTAAAGGGTAAGAAAGTCGCAGTCATTGGAACTGGCAGCAGCGGGATCCAAATTGTCGCGAAGATTGCTCAGGAAGTGGAACACCTCTATACCTGGATCCGGTCACCTACCTGGATTACAGCTGGCTTCGCTCAGAAATTCGCCTCCGAGGGCGGAGGAAACTTTGAATGTACGAGCCCCCCCCCCTCTACGACTGGCTCAACGCTGACCATTCAGACACGCCGGAACAAAAGCAGCTCTTTAAAGACAACCCGAAGCTCTACTTGAAGTATTCAAAAATGATCGAGTCAGAGTTAAATCAAAGATTCAAGTTCATTTTGAAGAACACCCCGGAGTCCAAAGCGGCTAGAGAAGTGAGTGTTTGTGTTATCGCCATTCAACTTGTTACTAAAAAGGTGTCAGTACGCAATCTCCGAAATGAAGCAGAAGCTGGCACATGATGAGGCTTTGATCGAGGCGATTATCCCGAAAAATTTTGATGTGGGATGTCGAAGACCAACTGTACGTGCCCGTATACTTTCGGAAATCTCGACGCAGTTTTGTTAATTAGCGACTTACAGCCAGGAAATGGGTTTCTGGAAGCTTTGAATCAGGAGAATGTGACTGTATTCACCCATTTCATGAAGGCCGTCACCCCAACAGGGTTCATCGACAACCGTGGCCAAGAACATCAAGTTGATGTTATTATTTGTGCAACTGGGTATGGCGTCATTCCAAATGTGTTTAATTTTGTTTACTAATATACTGGACACAAAGATTCAATACCACATGGATCCCACGCTTCCCCGTCGAGGCAAACGGTGAGACTCTGGCAAAGCTATGGCGTGATGAAGCTACGTCGTATATTTCGGTAGCTCCTCCTAACAGTATGGTTCTACTCCCTCTCGAGTCACTCGTTGTGCTGACGCACAGAGCAGTCCCGAACTACTATATGATGGGCGGACCGTACGGGCCCCTTGGCCATGGTTCGTTCTTACCAATCTTGGAGTCACTGGCACGATACATCCTCCAGATCATCGAGAAGATGCAGGTCGACCGCATCAAATCGCTAACTCCCAAGCCTGAAGTCATTTCTCAATTCAAGGAACATGCAGACCTCTACCTGCAACGAACTGCGTGGGTTTCTGGGTGTAGCAGTTGGTTTAAACAAGGACGTGTGGACGGCCCGCTACCGATGTTTCCGGGGAGTCGTCTCACATACCTGAAGCTGCTTGAGAGGCCGAGGTTTGAGGACTACAATATTGAATATTGTAACAAGTTGAACATGTTTGAGTTCCTGGGTGACGGTTTCGAAGTTCGAGAGTTCGACGGCAGGGATCTATCCTACTATCTGGGTCTCGTCGACGAGAAGGATGTGCAAATTGACCTGGAGGCCGACCTGTCCACTGATCTGGCTGCGCTGATTCCTCAGGCATCAAAAGCGTGAGACATGTTGAAGGACGTGACGGGTGACGGGAGTTTCAACACGAGATATAGATAGAGCGAACCCGTTCATTTCCCATGCGAGCATGATATTGCATGTATCTAGAATATTATATCAGCGGGACTAGGGTAACGCGAAGCAAAGCAAGTAGTAATCCCCAGTTTAGGTACCAGCTTTTGTCAATCCGCCACACATCACCAAGGGATGGGACAGAGTGCATTCCCCCTTTTTGGACAGAAAGAATGATAGACCCAGATAGTCGACTCAGAGACGCTGCTTTCACAGAATTCCGCGTCCTGGTTGATCAGCTCTATTAGTAGACCCCTTGACAAAAGTTGCTGTGTGGTACAAACTCCAGCAAAAGCCGCCGATAGGGATGGAAATGCCGGTGCTTTGTGCCTCGAGCATCAGTTTCACCACCCGAACGCGACGGTCATCGGTGGTCGACCAGCTGGGGCACTGGGGTTGCACGCATGGCAGCATCACTTTTAACCCGATCCGGTCGAGTCGCGAGCTCGTCTGGCGCTGAGTTGCGGAGAAATGATTTCTGGGTCCCCGAGACTCAAATAACAATTTGGGGTCAACGACCAAGGGAGTACAACCTACTATGGCCGGGAGGTGGATTATGGACATTATTCTATCACACTTGATCTGAAAAATCTCAGACAGTTCTCTAGAGAAATGAGCTGGTTCTAGCGAGGGAGGAGCAACCAAGATGATCCCGCAAAAGCCCTCGACGACGACTTGAAGGAATTCTTGAAAGAGCAACAGGCCCGTCCATATTACGTCCCAGCTGAAGCTCCTGTGGAACCGTCAGAGCCTTTAGAGAAGTCTAATCCTACCATTAAGCTGCACGAACTGACACTTATAGATGCAGCGCAGCCCCTGGAGGATAGACCTTTACCACAAGAGTCGCTGTTTCAAGGTGGCCGATACAAACATATCTGGAAGACCTACATTCCTCAAGATGAAAATCATCGCAGTTACATCAGCGCCCCTTTACTAGCTCCCGGAAGGCTGGATTCCCTCCTTCCCAATAATGGTGCCGTATGTGTTCTCGTTTTTCCTTGTCTTAAATGGCGCTGATAGTTTCATTTCCCTCCAGATGATCCTTACCTACATTTCAAAAAAGAGATGGCATCTCGCCTTGGCTCCCGAGTCACCCAGAAAAGGAATCTACTTCAAAAGTCCATCTCCTATGAATCCGCTTGCGAAGCCGAAAGCAACATTCTCTTACAGTTGTCCTATCCGTCCAAACGAATTGACTTTTTTCTTCAACTATTTCGCAATCAAGACGAAATAAAAGAAATTGTCGCCTGTCACCTTGGACTGAAGGGTAATCAATCCTGTCGACTAGGTGACTTCTCGGAATGGAGGCATGGGACGTTCAATGTCTGTATTCCAGTGTATATATATAACTGGAATAGACGTCCCAAGAGTCGGGTCATGATTCGATTCCCACTCCCATACAAGCTGGGAGAATCTTCGAATCCGGGAAACATGGATGAGAAGGTGCGATCTGAAGCAGCAACATATATCTGGATGCAACAAAATTGCCCTGAGATACCAATCCCGTACTTATGGGGGTTCGGAACTGGCAATAATCTACATGTATGCGTAGTCTTCCAGAATGCTTTCTGTGATGTGCTAATAATGGAGGTTCAGTTCACAGCGCGTGAAAACGCTCCATGGTATTTGCGATGCCTCTCATTCATACAGAACACCCTACAACTGCTATTTCGACAATCGGTCTGCTCTCCCTACATTCGCTGTAAACGACCCGACATTCCGTTTACTATTGGCTATTTACTGATGGATTTCATCGAAGAGGAGGAAGGCCGCATGCTTTCAACAACGTGGGATACACTTTCTGGCGATGCGAAGCGAAAGACGAATTTCTTTCGAGATTTATCCCGGATCTTGTTGTCTTTGACCAGAAGGCCACTACCTCACATAGGCTCGTTGACGATAGACAACGAAGGTGTTGTTAGTCTGGCTAATCGACCATTATCTATCATCATTCCCGAAGCAGAAAACGACAGACGCCCGCCTGTTGTGAACCGCAGCTACATTTACAGTGTGGTCGAGTCATATGTTCTGGATCTCTTCAAATACCACGACAATCGCATTCGATATCAGCCCAATTCTGTCATTTCAAGGGATGATGCCGTCGACCAAATGGAAGCCTTGACTTTGATGCGCGCCTGTCTACCTGATTTCGTCAATAGCTCCTCGCGTTCTGGACCGTTTTATTTAACCCTCACGGATCTCCATCAAAGCAATATCTTCGTCGATGACGACTGGCACATCAAGTCAATTATTGATCTGGAATGGGCCTGTTTCAGACCGATTGAGATGCTGAGGCCCCCTTTATGGTTGACCGGTCAGGCAATTGACCGTTTGGGTGATGAAAAGTTGGCAGATCTCAAGCTCACGCTCGACGAGTTTTTTTCCATTTTAGAAGAGGAGGAACAACAATCTTTGCATCCTTGCTCCATTTCAGTGGCCAATACTTTTCGCGAGAACTGGGCAACGGGTCGAATTTGGTACTTCCGGGCCTTGGATTCTTTAACGGGACTGTATGGCGTCTTCTTGAATCATATCGAGCCAATGTTTGCATCCAACATTACAAACACTCCAGCTCGTTATTGGCATCCGGATGCTGAGAAAGTAATCCGAAGAAGGGTTGAGGACAAGCTTGAGTACGATCAACGATTACGGCAAGCTTTTGAAGAAGATATCAGGTCGGAGGACTAAGATTATCGTTCTATATCCTATTTATGATCCTGTTCGGCCATCTCCCTTACAGCCCTTTCCCTCGCCTCCCTTTCTCTCTTATTCTGGGCTCTTTTCGCTTTGGCCGCGTCGCCGGAAGAAGACTGCTTTTGTATGGTTTTCTGGTCTGATAAAGCTCTGGCTAAGTCTTGTTTGATTCAGGAATAAGGGACTGTTAAAGCTTCAAAGTCTTCATGAATTGGGCTCTGATCTCCTTCGGTGTCCATTCTTCACCTATAGGCATAAGGACTGTCGCAACTGTCTTTTTTTTCCTTCTCTCTCTTCAGAGTTGAGATATATGTTTCATTGTTGACCTGAACCTGGAGATTCCATTTTTTAGGATCGTGGGCAGTTACCTTTCGTAGATCTAGTGTCAGTTGAAGTTCTATACGAAAAGAAGTATGGAAGGTAAAAGCTCACAACGTACCCACTTGCATGTCTAATCGGAAGTTCTGATCTTTATAGAGTGTGCCTCCGTTCTTTCGAAAGTCACCAAGGCTCCGAAACGAGATGTGACCTCTGGACAAGAATCTACAAAGAAGGGGCGTTCGATCGCCTAAAGAAGTCCTGGAACGAAACAGACTGCCACGCGGGTTTAGTTGCTGTTCAGTTTCTCGTTTCCGGTTCGGAGGCTTCGATGGTAGAGGCTGCTCCCTGGCTTTTGGTTGAGTCTTTTTTAACCAAATGGTCCAACCGGGCGCTCCGTCGAGGAGGGTTTTACTTTTGTCCCTTCTTGATGTCTTGAGGGCGTTCAGCTTTGCCGGTGAGTCGAGTACTGAAGGAGGAGGCGGATAGATGACCTTGATGTGGCAGCTTCATGGGCTGCCTTCTAGTCTTCTGCTTCTGAGCGGTTACACTGTCTCGTGGTGCCATGGTTGTTCGAAATGAGGGTGAAAGGAATGGGACTTGAACCAGTACCCTTGCCTGTAACGTAGTCCTTGGCATGTCGCTTGAAAGTACAACCACTGCTGCCCGGGTTTTGAATTTCATCTGTCTCTGTCTGGGGACAACACGGAAAGAGTACTGCAACAAGACCTCGCGTTTGCGTTTCCGTTTGCTCCTTCCGTACTTCCTACCACCAAAGCTCGCAGCATGTCTTTTCTGTCAAGATCACGTCATCTCTTGACATTTAAAACCCCACCCTTGCGTTCGTCAGAGAGCATCCCTTTAATATGCCGTGGTAAGTTGTTGCAAACACGTCAGGGAGTAACCTACTAATCACAACTCCTAGACAAACTTATTAGCCAGGAGGAGCTCTTTCAGTATACCAATGGTCGATTTCTGACTCGAGACAAACAACAACGTGATGGTCGTTATGTCAAATTTGATTTAGAAGCCCTTTGTGCTATTGCAGCCTCCACAGGCCCTTCAGTGTCGCCTGTTCGAGAAGTCGAAAAGTTGGAGGGCGGATTCAGCAAAGCATTACGTATACGAAGAGAGAATGGAACAGAGCTCATTGCGAAGGTTCCGTGTCCCAATGCCGGCCTCGCAAAATACACGACTGCCTCAGAGGTCGCTACTCTGGAATACGGTATGAACTCCAAGTTACCGCAAGCACGAGTGATGTCTGACTATTCAAAGTGAGAGAGCATACGGACATCCCAGTACCATACGTCTATACCTGGAGTGTCGATGCTTCGAATCCTGTTGGGGCGGAGTACATCATCATGGAAAAGGCTGCCGGTGTTCAGCTCTTCAAAGTGTGGGATCAGATTGAGGAGCCATGCAAACTTGCCATCATCAAACAGTTAGCCAAGTGGGAGAGTCAACTGATGTCGACAAAGTTCCCGGCTTATGGCTGCGTATATTCTCGCCGCTCTTTTCCTGAGGGTGAGAGAAGGGTAAACCTCCCTGCATATATAGATCGATCTGAGTCCTATTGTGTTGGTCGCTCCTGCGACCCAACTTGGTCTACAGTGCCTGGGAACTTGATCCTTGGGCCTTGTATGTACGCTTCTGCTAACTTTATGTCCTCTGTGAAAGGCTGATCCATCGTTAGGGCCTTGCCTCACCGAATTTGGAACTGCCCTAGCAAAACGCGAGATCTATCGCATCTCTCAGGAATCGAAAAGCGTTCGCGTGGTTGACCATCGTGGCACAGCTGCTGAACAGATCTCTTTGCTAGAGACAACCATTGAGCTCATGAAGATTCTAGGCGCTCACTCTGACCTCCTTCGACATGCTCAACCTACCGCCTGCCACACCGATTTACACATGGGCAATATTTTTGTCTCAGAGAATGACCCTTCCAAAATCTCGGCAATTATCGACTGGCAATTCACACAAGTAGCTCCTATGTTCTTACAGGCACGCTGGCCGGTTTTCTTGACTCCACCAAAAGGCTACCCGGCTGGGATCGTCACGCCCAAGTTACCTGATGACTATAAAGACTTGGATGAGAAAGAAAAGAAGTTGGCAGAGTACAACTTGAACCTGGCAACAGCGGCCAAAGCCTATGAGATAAGATGCCTCCTTGACAACAAGGATGCTTACGATGCCATGAACTTGCCTCGAGTATATCGTGAGCTCTTCATTCGTTGTGGAGCAACATGGGAAGAGGGGCCTGCGCCATTGCGGGAGTGCCTAATCGAGATTTTCAATTCCTGGCATGATCTAGATCTGCCGGGTGAGTGTCCCTACACATTCCGTGAAGAAGAAATTCAAAAACATGAAAAACATTTCGAGGAATACAGAGAATGGCACCGTGTAAGAGAATTTGCGAAGGAATATCTCGACACCGACGCAGATGGCTGGATCCCCCCTGAAATGGATTTCACCGAGAAGCAGGAACAAAATAAGGCTCTTTTCACTCTGTATGTAGAGAGAATGGCAGGCCAGAAGTCCCAAGAAGAGATCTATAGGATGTGGCCATTTTCGGAGGGAATCACGCTGTGACATCACATGGATGACTTCGAGGGCTACTTTGCACTGCTTTCGAGTGTAGTAAGGAGCCCACTGTCTCCAGCCTTTATCTAGCTCGAAACTTACCGACTCAGAGGTTCAAAAAGATTTTGAAGAACGAATTGCATTGCAGCGTAGGGGGTATGAGATTAGGACACTAATATCTATTTCAGGATTGTACACATAAACTCGATCGTGTGGATCTCTCCGATAGCTGGGCACGCGCCTGCGTGTAGACTACGCCTCAAGGCCAAACCTAGATTCCATCTTCCACGAGCTTGCCCGACCACATTCGGAAGTCTCCTCACATGACTGCGCAGCCGCCCCTCTTTCTATGGCCCTCTCTCTTGCCCTCGTCCCGAGACCTTACGTTGTGTATCTTCCTGCCATCTAACGTACCATTCCCCTGGTTCTCCCTCGTCCGTCGGGTCTTTTCATATTGCCACAAGATTTGCTCCTGATCTTTGTGGTTCAGCATGGCGAACTTGGCCGTTGCCATGATTTCGTCGCGCGAGTGGTGGCCGGTTTCGATCATGCGCTCCACATCGTCGCGAGTCTCGTTGTAGGTCCGAGCAGCGGTTTGCTTCTGCCGGGCCGCGGCCTGAGACGCCGCCGCGTAGCCGGTATATGTGCTTGGGCTGAAAGGGGCGTTGGCGTCCGCGTACGGCGCCCTGGGTTGCGTGGGCGAGATGCGGCGCGGAGGATTGCTGGGTTTGCGGCGCTTCGTGATGCCTGCGCCTGAGACGAGAGTCGGGGATCTGTCGTTGCGGCGCCGGGTTGGGGACGTGTTCATCAAGCCCGGGACCAGGCTCACCGGAATTTCCGACACGTCTTGCACAGTCCCGTGGAGGTGCATTGTGGTCGGAGAGTAGCCGACGCCGCTCTTGCGCTCCATCGCCGATGGCATGGCGATATCATTCAGGTCCTGGGCGATGTTTTCCAGCCGGCCGAGCATCGTGGGCGCGTCGCTCGAATATCTGTTTCGCGAAATCCTCTGCCGCTTGGTGATTTTGGTCGGGCTGATGTTGGATGACATACGCTTCTGCGAGAGGCCCGGATAGTTGGTGTACTCTGCGGATTCGGTGGAGTCGTAGCCGTCACCGACGGGCGACGGGCTTTTGCGGATCATTGCGCGACGGGAGACAGCCTGCGGCGGCAGCGCCACGGGGCGCATCGGCTGCTGAACGCTTCGTGCCAGAGGGTGGATGTGGTCCTCGGGATGAGGGGGGATGCCTCGAGCGAGGCGCTGTGCACAATCAGGACAGTTCCACGGGATGGAATATCTGATGGCGTTGACGAGCTCTTTCTCGCATGCTGATGTGGGCAGCGCGCAGCCACCGTCCCGCCGGGTGAAGCTGCCGTTGTGGCCACACTGAAAGACGGCCAAGTCCCAGATACACATTTTTACGACAACAGGTTTTTGTAATGAGGAGTTAATTTTCTTTTCCCTGCCCGATGATTTTATCTGAGATGGGTTTGCGAAAAAGGTATTGCTCGAGCGGAAAACCCTGTGTTAAGGGGACAAGAGGATCAAAGGGGCCGCCATAACAAAGCCATCCTTTGTTCGAGGGTCCGCGTGCGGACGATCGAGTTATTGAGGTCATGGTATCTCGGACGCATGCGAGGATATTGCCACGTTGATTGAGACATAGAGTTTGCATTGCCATGGTTCTCTTACAAGGACAAGTTTCATTCTTACCTTTCCATGTTGTAGGGTGTAGAGACGTTGTACCGAGTAAGCTTTCTGTTGTGCATAGACTCGAGAGTGGTGTCATCGGTGCTTAACCAGTCATAGAACGGGCACAAGGGATACAAGGGACTGCTTGCATCCATTGGGAATAATGCACATGACCAGCGGGTGTTTAATGCTCTGTAATTAGCATTTTATGCAGACGTCGTCGGAGCATTGGGCTGATTGGGTGGGTGCGGATGCTGACGAGGCTGAAATGCGGTGCCAAGACATTCAGTGGTTGCCCCTCGAAACAGTTTGTAGCCTTCCGCTTTGGGCCGTGGCTTGTCCCTCTGTTATCGACGCCGTGGCTAAAACAACCCCGACGCCATTCGTCTGTCCCTCTTCCACATGACGAAACACCTTTCGTCTGTGCGCTGTATGATTGCATCTTTACCTTGTTGTTACTTTCACTGCGCATGGATACACCTTTGATCTGACCGCCCTCGTCGACTTCATCTCGAGTAAACAAAACCCCGCCGCTCCACGAACAATGGACGACCGTTCGTCCTTTACACAAATCCCACCCGGCTATCCCGATGGGCCTCCCTCATATGTCAACGGCCCAGGAGAGGAGGATGCTATGAGTATGCCCGTACTCAACAATTCGCTAAGACTGCTCCCGCAGGGTCAAGATGAGTACAGACCGTATGTGACAAGCTCCGTTTCTTCTACCCAACCCAATGGACCACCCTCCCCAAGGCGCAAGCCAGTGCCTGACCCCAAGGTACTGCGCGTTGCATGGGAAGACTCTCCCACAGAGTCCGCCGTCCCAGGCGCCAGGATGCAGTCACCGGTGTCTTCACTGATTGCGGAAGCCGAAGAGAGTCTTCGGCGCAGTCGTCAATCGACCACCTTTATTGGCCGGGCGCCGACCCTCAAGGCCACTGTGACCTTCAAGAAGAGCTCTCAAGCTGACAGGAGTCCTTCATATAGAACCTCTCCCTCCTTTCGAGGCTCCCCAGAACGATATCGACCTACAGCGTCGAGCGCATACAGCTCAAGACCGGGCTCCAGCCTAGGACGGGCCCCCTCCATACCCCCGCCGACGGCGAACCCTCGCTCACCCATCAGACCTTCTACACCTTCTCGAGTGTCTACCGACTGGGGAAGACCAGCTGCGTCCACTGTTTCTTATGAACCGGCAGACCTTAATGGTAGCCCACGCCCAGGCACACCGTCCTCCCAGTATGGCGGAAGTCCACGGAGGCCACTACCTCCTGCACCACTTTTCTCGGCCAAGGGCGCTGCAGCAGAAACAACGATACCGATCCCAGATTCAGACTTGGAGAATGACGTGTTTGTGAACGGTCACCCTCTTGTCCCTGACAACGATCCCCGGGCGAGTCTGAAATCCGCCCATTCGTACATGACTGACTCGACCTTCACGGAAGAGGACGATATACAGAGCGAGAAATTGGACCACTACGGCCCTGCTCCAGAAGGAAGACAAGATCGACGAGGACTGAGGTCTGCACAGATGACAAAGAAGGAAGTGCGACTCATCAATGGAGAGCTGATCCTCGAGTGCAAGATCCCTACAATCCTACACAGCTTTCTGCCTCGAAGAGATGAACGAGAGTTCACACACATGCGATATACAGCCGTCACCTGCGATCCAGACGACTTTGTTGTGCAAGGTTACAAATTACGCCAGAATATTGGAACTACACTTCGAGAAACAGAGCTCTTCATCTGCGTTACCATGTACAACGAAGGCGAGATCGAGTTTACGAGGACAATGCACGGCATCATGAGAAACATCAGCCATTTCTGCTCGAGGACAAAGTCCCGGACATGGGGCAAAGATGGTTGGCAGAAAATTGTCGTCTGCATCATCGCAGACGGGAGACAGAAGGTCCATCCTCGCACCCTCAACGCTCTGGCCGCCATGGGAGTCTACCAGGATGGTATAGCCAAGAACGTGGTCAACCAGAAAGAAGTCACCGCCCATGTATATGAATACACAACTCAGGTGTCGCTGGATGAGAGTCTGAAGTTCAAAGGAGCGGAGAAAGGCATCGTTCCTTGCCAAATGATCTTCTGTCTGAAGGAGAAGAACAAGAAAAAGCTCAATTCCCACCGTTGGTTTTTCAATGCTTTCGGACGCGCCCTGACACCCAACGTTTGCATCCTGCTTGATGTGGGCACCAAACCGGACTCGAAAGCACTCTATCATCTCTGGAAAGCATTCGATCAAGATTCCAATGTCGCCGGAGCAGCAGGTGAGATCAAGGCTGACAAGGGCAAGGGGTGGATAGGCTTGCTGAACCCGCTGGTCGCCTCACAAAACTTTGAATACAAGATGAGTAACATCCTCGATAAGCCACTCGAGTCAGTGTTTGGCTATATCACCGTGTTACCTGGTGCTCTATCAGCGTATCGATACTACGCCCTTCAAAATGATCCAAGTGGCCACGGTCCGCTCAGCCAATACTTTAAGGGAGAAACGCTACATGGTCGAGATGCCGACGTCTTCACCGCCAATATGTATCTCGCTGAGGACCGAATCCTCTGCTGGGAGCTTGTTGCGAAACGTGGCGAACAGTGGGTGTTGAAGTTTGTGAAGAGTGCATACGGAGAGACTGATGTGCCCGGTGAGTACGAAAAAAAAAACAGTTGAGATTCAGGGCTGACTAGAGACAGACGCTGTTCCCGAGTTTATCTCTCAACGACGACGCTGGCTCAATGGCGCTTTCTTCGCGGCCGTATACTCGTTGGTCCATTTCAAACAGATCTGGCACACCGACCACACCTTGACTCGGAAGATCTTGCTCCATGTCGAATTCATTTATCAGTTCGTCTCGCTGCTATTTACCTTCTTCTCCCTGGCCAACTTCTACCTCACCTTCTACTTTATTGCTGGTTCACTGTCGGATCCGAAGATCGATCCTTTTGGCCACAACATTGGAAAATACATCTTCATCATCCTCCGCTATACCACTGTTTTGTTGATCTGTCTACAATTCATACTCAGCATGGGTAATCGACCGCAGGGCGCGAAGAAGTTGTTCACCGGTACCATGATCACATACTCGATAATTATGGCATACACCACCTTTGCGTCTCTCTACATTGTGGTCAAGCAGCTCACGACACACGCATTGGAGAACACGGACCCGAAAAATCCGTACAAGCTGGGGAACAACATCTTCACCAACCTCATTGTCAGCACAGTCAGCACTATCGGCCTCTACTTCCTCATGTCATTTCTGTACCTGGATCCATGGCATATGTTCACCAGCTCGGCACAATACTTTGCTCTGCTGCCGTCGTATATTTGTACTCTGCAAGTATATGCATTCTGCAACACGCACGACGTCACTTGGGGTACCAAGGGCGACAATGTCATGCACACCGATCTTGGAGCGGCCAAAGCGGTCGGATCTGGTGGGAACACGGTCGAAGTGGAAATGCCCTCTGAACAGCTTGATATCGATTCCGGATACGACGTCGCGCTTCGCAATCTCCGCGATAGAGTCGAAGTACCCAAACCTCCCGTCAGCGAGTCTCAATTGCAGGAAGATTACTACAAGTCCGTCCGTACGTACATGGTCGCAGTCTGGATCGTGTGCAACGCCATTCTCGCCATGGCTGTCTCCGAAGCGTACCCTGTGGGCAGCCACATCAGCAACAACGTGTACCTCAAAATCCTTTTGTGGTCTGTGGCTGCTCTGGCACTGTTCCGCGCCATTGGCTCGTCTGCATTCGGCGTCATCAACATCATCTCGGCCATTGCGGAAGGAAGACTGCAAGCCAAGTTTGAAAAGATCTTTGGTGGCGGGGACGAGAATGGCCGACACAGGAAGGGGTTGGGTAGTGGGATCAGCGAGAGTGGAAAGACGGGACTGAGCGGCGGGAGCAAGGGCAGTGCCTCGGGCATCAGTTTGAGCGACGTGACGAGCAAGATTTCTGAGAAGTTCAGTTGGATAGGGAGGAGGTAATGCGGATGGAAGAGACGACGGTATTGAGGGGGGTATTTTCTGGGACGAGAAGAAATGATTTACTTTTGAATGCATTGGAAAAAGGGAGGGGAAAAAAAGGAGTTTTGGGGCGCCAGGCGCCGTTTTCGGTCATGGTTGGAAATGTACTACGACGACCCTTCGAAGGGGGACTTTTGTATGATTTTGTCCCGTCTGTGTGACCGTGTGTTTCTAGACGATTTCGGGATGGGATTTTATTTCCAAGGGGAGTTATGGATCCGGATCCCCCTTTATGGCATGCTGCGAAATGCTCAAAAGGGACAAGAAGCAAAGAAAATCTTAGGCCTTTCTTTTTCTTTTTCCTCTTTCTCTTTTTCCTCCTCCGCCCACTGTAGAGAAAAGAAGAAATTAATTGAGAGAGGGCGGGTTGCAGGGTACGGAGTGAATCAGATGGAAGAAGGAAAAAACACTTCATGTCAACAAAACCTTAAGCTTTTCTCTTTTCTATTTTTCATCTAAACTTACCTGAGTAAAAAGCACAAGCACAGTCCAGAACAGGCCAGGCACATGAGATACACATAGGACAGGGCACATATCCAACCCGTAAAGGCGGTATATGTAACTAACTGTCGACTCCATGTGGCCTGGTCCCATTCATTCATTCATTCATTCATTGAACATTCATGGGCTGAACTTGACTTACCTTTTCCCCCACCAACCAATCCTATCCTATCCTATCCCTAAAAACACCAGATATGATTTCCGTAGCAAAAAGGGGCCTCTCACCTCACCACACCACACCACACCACACCATCGACAAAAGGGAAGATAAAGTCGATCCGACCGCCTTTGTAAGAACAAGGGGGAGGGAGGCGATAAACTTACCTTTCTTTGCCGTTGCCTTACCTTGCCATGCCATGGGAAAACATCAGATTACCGCCATTTCCGGGGGGGTTTTTTGGGAGGGTTGTTGTTTCGCTCCCTGGTAACAATAGAGACCTGTCTGCTCGTCACAGAGAGAGAGTTTTTCGAATTTTTTTGGGAGGTGCCTTGAGGACATCGAGGGGTTTTTTCTTTGCAGTCGAACTAGGGCAGAAAAATAGCAATTGCGGGAGGCGGATAAGGGGGGGGAATGGGGTTTTGAACTAACCTTGCACTTACATGAGGTCAGCACTGGACTTGGGAAAGCTCAGAGTAACGCACCTGGGCACGCACGTCTCATGGCCCGAGTCTAGGGTCCTGTAAAAGCATCGTCAGAGTCCCTCTCAATCTAGGAATATGGGACGCTTGGGTCCCCCATGAACTGCAGGTACGCCATGCATGGCCGGGGTCGGCAGTGGTGCTTGTCGTCTATGCGACACCGGCAACGAAACCACAGAGCTGCTCGCTGAAACAGGAGTCGCAGCAGGAGCAGTCACACGGATGAGAGGAGTACCAACAGGGGCAGGAAGATGCGGGTAGAATTCTTCGACGTGGCGAACATATCCTAGAACCGCACCCGTGCTGGCTGATTCCTTTTGGTACCATACGACTCGGGTGCTTGGATTTGCGACAGGGGGTTGGGCGGGACGGGGAACCGGAGCGGGTGCTACATGACGCGGGCGATACACACTTGGTCGCTGTGTAGGTGCACTTCGAGGAACAGCCAGATGGAGAGGGGAGCTAGAAGTCGGGGGTGGCGTATGAAGCCGTCTTATTCCACGCCCCCTCAGAAGCTTCTCGCGAAGCCCCTCCCGGTGTTGTCGATGCTCTTCTCGCTTGCGCGCGAGTCTCTCGTGATAGTCTGTAGCCGGGGTCTTGGAAGCAGCCTTTCGCTGACGTCTTACACCCGCTTCAAACCACTCTGGGCTGTGTCTGTATCTCCCCGACGGCTTGGAAGAGCTTCGGGTTGCACTAGAGGAAGACGAAACTGTGGATTCTGTGAATGATCTAGACCTCAGCGTCGAGGAATCAGAGAGAGTTGCGTTGTCATCGTTGTCGTCAGTTTGGGAGAGTATGTCCTCTAGCATGAAATCAATCATAGGAGTTTGACTAAAGCCAAGCTCTGAAAGGTTATGCTGCCATGGCTGAGACATTCCAAGTTGGCCAGGATCCTCCAGGAGTGGAACTTCGGGTTCTTGGTCTGGCGCAGTCGGCAAGGCATCAGCTAGAGAATGTTGCGGAGCTGAGGTGGAAGTAGGTTCGGTTACCAGATCGGAGTATCCATAGAAATCGGCCAAATTGCTCAGGGAGCGCGGCGTCAACAGAACCTCCTCGGGAGCTGGAGGGTAATGCACATTGTCGAGCACACTGGGGAGGAAAGGAGATCCCGTGTCTATGTCTGTAGGAAATGACGCCCAGAAGTCAGGGTCAAATGTGTCGAGACTGGCCAGCTCTGGAGCAGTTTGCAACACGCTGTTTTCTGGGGCGAAGTCATTGGTAGCTAGATCTAGATCTAGGAAGTCATAGTTGTCGGCATTAACCGCATTCTCGTAGCTGGAGACCTGCTCCTCAGCAGGCGCAACATATCCAGCCACAAAAGAGCCAGATAGAATATCGTCAAAGTAGTCCTCCGAGTCGAATGTAGCATCATGGAGGGGGGTGTCCAAGATCTGGAATGCAAGGTCAGCTTGATCGGGATTCGTCTCAGCTGCAGCATCATCGTCGCTGGCGTCGACCCGAGCTGGTGAGACGGATTGAGTTGCAGCGGGAACTATTGGATCGTAGAAAAGGTCGTTTGTGGGACGGATTGTAGGCAAGAACGGGTCAAGAGGATTGACGGTCAGATGCAGACGATTCTGCTCGAAGAGTTCATCAAGTGAGCTGGAATTGGATATTTCAGACACATTGTCAGATTCGAGGAAGGTCCAGCCTTCGGCTGTTAGAGATGGGTTTGACCCTTCAGGTTGGGGCGCCATTGTTGAAAGGGGTGATCGCGGAATTGGCTTGGTTGTGGATGTGATTTTTGATTGCGAGCAGTTACGCGGTCGGACGAGAAACCCTTTCTGGGGCGCTGGTGATTGTGTTAGAAGGATGGAGAGCCAGAAACCCATTGATGCGCGTTCTCGGGTCCATCTTATACCCATCGAGTTCCGCCTGCCTGGGTGACGATAGGCAAAGAAAACAATGAGTTTCTCATCTCACAAAGAGGCAGCAAAGAGATGGCGGTTCAGACAATAGCCAGTGCTTGAATCGCGTCAATGATGAACAATGCAATTGTCACCTCGGACTCTGTGAAAGATCGACATTGACTCTATGCTTTGTAAAGACAATGTCACTCGATCGGTGTCAAGGACCGATGCTTCCTCTAAGCGTCGAGTTTAAGACAATGTCGTCGTCACTTACCGCCTTTGTCTTGTTTGTATCACTGCTGATAATGTGCCTCGCAAAGTGTCAGTAACAAAGGATTCGAGGTAATTCGAAGCAGAGGCAGAGGCAGAGAGGCAGAGGTAGAGGCAGTAGCCAGGATGCGAGAACAGCAACTTAAATATCTGTTGACTCTTCGGCTCGTTCGTTGTTTCTTCTCCAAACAATTCGCAACGACTCCGAAAGACAAGATGTTTTCTACCGCTAACATTATCAGCATTGCTGTATTCTCCTTCGTTATTATTGTCCTGATGATCCACATAATCATATTTCATCGCCTGCAACGACAAGAGACCCACGCTAGAAGACTCGCCCGTCAAAGATACAACGAAAACTGGTATCACGGCACAGGAGAGGGAGCTTAAAGCAGTCAATCCAGCCAGCTCGAGTTCGTCAAGACCACGGTGGGGAGCAAGTCGATAACGAGATTTGAGTGAGAGAGATATGCACGAGTGAGCAGAAGGAGTTGGTTGGTGCGTGGAGGACGAGGAGACGTTGGAGCAAAGCTCGGAGATATCGGTCGGGGATAAGCTGAAATTCGGCCGAGATTATGACCGAGCACCGAGAAGCGTCACAGGTGAGACTCCATAGTGATTAACCGTAATGCAATCAATGGTTTGATGGTATCCTCATGCGGCCCCCAGCCCTGACAACTTCTCTTCCGTCAAGCTCCATCTCATGAAGTTTTGAGGGTTTCGATGATGGTTTCTGCCTATTTCTCAATAGTGTCGTGTATGTCATTCTTGAACCATTGCCAACGCACTTTGTCGAAGCCCTCTTCTCTTTCCCTAGATAGACCACTGGTGTGCTTCCCCAATTCATCTCCCGTCTAGGTTGGCTCTAGGTTCAACGGCTCGCACCATTCTTATATCGCTGCTCGGTCCTAATCCGATCGGTGCAAGAGCACTTGGACAAACACCGAGGAGCGCAGTTATCGAGGAGCCCTGCCCATCCTACGCGCGCTATCCGCACTTCGGTCTTAAATCATCGGCTTTCAAAACTCGATCGTACACAACTATGGGTCCCAAGCGCCGTCGCCTAGCACTCTCATGTGTGGCTTGCCGGCGGAGAAAAGTGAGATGTGATAGGACATATCCATCTTGTGTCAGATGTCAGAAGGGAGGTGTGAGTTGTGACTACGTCTCATACACCAAGCAGGACAACGCTATCCCTACCCCGTCCGATGAGAGCCCACAGATACGCAGAGAGGCCTCGGTTACTTCTTGGACTGGTAAGCTCTTTGACATATGGTCTCTCCAATGACCCTAAAGGTTGCCTATGCCAGCGCTCTCTCACATTAGTTTCTTGCCCTACATATTTGATCTGGAGCGAGTACTGACGTCCTGTAAATATCAGAACATGCAGAGGTTTGGCACGCTCGTTCTAAAGAGCATGAGAGTGCCCGAAACCACGAGGAGAACCAGCAGTCCGCCGCCTCGCAACCTCGCACCCAAACGAAGTCTTTGCGAGAGTTGCAGGACCGGGTATACGAGCTGGAAACTCAGGTCAGAGCGACGGGGACGCGTCCCATCTCGTCGACGGCGTATCTGGGTCTCGGCCATTCTACCGCCTCGGGAGCGAGCGCCGATAAGAATGCCTTACATGACCACGAACGAGCCTTACTCCGGGGGAAAGGTTTCAAGACGCAGTATTTCGGCCCAAGTCATGGAGCGAAT